CATCTGAGTGCGCAAATTACATTTTCTGACTCTATAATTGTAATTTATACACTTAATTAAATACTAGCATACAAGAAATACTAATTTCGTACACAAACTTACAGAATTCTATTGATCATAATAATTCGCACCAATACCCACGCAAGGAATGCGATCAATAAAGCTTTTTTGATGAGCCCCATACTTCTCTCTCTCTCTCTCTCTCGAGTTTGCAGCAAACTTTTTAACAAGAACGCTGGAAATTTATCTGATTGAAGGTTTATACAGAATTATTGCACATCAGTACGTTCTAATCCAGCAAAGTCGTTGAAAACCTCGATCGAGTATTAAACGGATGAATGGTTCCAAACGACCTTTGAACCACACCTGCACTCCGTCAGCGCTAGCCTGCATGGCAGGCGGTATTTCTACGGGCAGCGAAAATTAGGGAAGCAAAGGAAATACTGCAAGCAGGCGTTTATTCCGTTACACAGAATTTTTTTCACTTTTTATTTGAAGATAGGAAATTACCATTATTATTATACATTGTAGTTGGTAAAAGCAATTTGATTGGCTTAGAGCGTACAGTTAAATCGCGCAATCACGCAACCTACAGAAAATTCAGTTATCTGCTAGCAGATAACTCAGTTATCTGCTAGCAGATAACTGAATTTTGTGTAGGTTGCGTGAAATTGAATGAGTGTACATTTCAAATGAGTGTACATTTCAATTTTCAAATGAATGTACATTTCATAATTGTAATGTTTACTTTAACAAGTAAATATTTTAATACGTTAACATCTTAACGATAATATGTTTCTTTTATATTTGTAATTAATTTAACTGTTGGACTTCCGGAGACTTGTTTATAGAAACGTTTTACTTGAACATCTTTGCCAGAAATCATATTGAATCATATAGTATTAAAATACTATGTGTATTATTCTTCAAATGTATAATAAAACAATTATTGAATTCGGTTTTTGCGATATGCAAAATTATCAAGGTCTCGGTAAGCGTTATCAACCTCGCCTTCGGCTCGGCTGATAACGCTTACCTCGACCTTGATAATTCCGCATATCACAAAAACCTCATCCAATAATTGTTAATTATTCCGTACAAGCTTTCGTGCAATTGTTCACAGACGTTAATTACGGGAGAATTTACGGCTGTACACAGGCTACGAAATTGGATGATTTATTTACTTTTTTTTTCTTCTTTTCTACCCTAATTCCACCACATTCATTGATAAAATTTTTATCGCAAGGATAAGAGTCTGCAACCGAGATAGTGGGTAGGAAAGGCAACTTGTTTCGCGTTCTCAAGGGGAGGTGGAAACAGTGGGAGGGGGATGGGGGAGTGGGACAAATATTTTGTAACCAGGCAAAGGGGGGGGGGGGGGGGC